AATTTGATATAAAACTGTTGCATACTTTTGTGATGAGATGTCGAAAAGTGCATTTTCATTGCATACTCTAAGCAACTCATACTCAAGCGCTGCATGAATTAAAAGCTATGCCTAAAAGTATGCAATGGAAAATAAAAACGCAATTCATTTAGTTTCAATTGGTTTTGTTTATTCCGAAGACTTTTAGTTACAAATTCCAATTAAAATCTAGTTTTTCAATGCAAAGCACTTACAATCTAATACCTGATATAAAACTAAATGGAATTTCACATAAGTAGATTTTGCACATTTTGTTGCTTAACGCTCAAAGGACGAGTCTAATAGAAATTGGGTGAACGTACAGGTGACAAGGTGCTCAGCTTACAGGTGACATCCAAGTTGGGTAAATTGCGCGTGTTGCGACAATAGCGACTCCAGCCCTTCCAGTACTTGAAGCCATCGCGTTGCTGTATTCGCTGTGCGCATGCAATGTCATCCGAAATATCATCATTGGAGAGATCTAACAAAAATATAAATGTAAATTATAAATAATATAGAATGGTAGATTTGCCTTAACTTACCTTCGCATTTCATATTGCATAGACCGCCACGGCGTCCCTCTGCACAGTAATCCCTGCTGTTGATTTGAAAGAGTCCATAGTTTTTGCTATTGTTCTCATTACTCGTCACTTTGTTCGTGTTCAAGGAACTCTCATGCTCCACCAAGCAAATCCCTAAATAGAAAAAAAGAAAGAGAATTAATTATTATGTTACGTGTATATACGCATTATACTTACAATTGGACATCAAAGACTTCTGGAACCTGTAGGTCTCGACCAGCACACGCGTCAGCTCGCATCGCATGTACTGCTTAGACTCCACCTCTTTGCCATTCAGCATCAGACAGAGCAGCAGAGCTGGCAGCAGCAGCACTTTTGGCGACATATCTAAAACGATTTAAAATACTACGTATGAATTCGTATGCATGTGTGTTTGTGCTAGTAATTAAATGTAGATTATATACATTAGTTCCAGGAATGGACAATTGATAAGCGACTCATTATATATGGGCATTCATTGTCACAACACACGAATAGCCCAAAGGTTCGAGAGGCCAGTTGTGTGCATCAAAATTTTGCATGATTTTAACTCGGGCGTTTCAGACTCGATTTTTAATATAATATCTCATACGACTCGTTCGACAGAGCACTTTCCCTTGGCAATCAAAACTTTTGTAATAATTCGGCACTATTTCAGTGTGGATTTTGAGTTTGCCACGAGTCTAACTCGAAAAGTCTCTGTCTACATCTCGCCTATATTTCATACGAATTATTAGTGAAATACCATATCTTCAAATATTTAAATATAGTTTTAGGTATTGCAAACATTTGCTGTTTAATCAGAGTTTGTTGTTTTATGTTGTTAGGCTGTGCAGTTAGGAGTCTCTGGTTAGCATTTGATTTATGCCATGCGATTAATTAGCACATTGAATATTGTTGATACTAGCAATACCGATAATTTCCGATATTGTTTGAAGCATTGCTTGAGCCAACAAGTTTCGAAGAACTGCTGTTGTGTAAACAAAACGTTAACAAAAGAAAACCTGTCAGCGCATTTGAATAGCTGAGAGAGTTGAATTGTTTCCGAAAACAAGAGAATAAAACATCTATAAAGCACTGTTAAAAAAAATATTATTTATTGTATTTAAATATATATTGGGAAAATATAAGCAGCACGATTTATGCATCAACAGCTTTATTAGAGCTCAAAGTGCTTCACACATTCAAAGCACGTCACTTGTATTATTTTGGCTAAAAAGCGCCTTCCCACCTTTTGTTTACTCAATTGTAAAGTAATTACAATGTTTACCTTTAGTTAATTAACTGGGGTCCCTGAAACAGACGCTTGCCGCAGCAATCAAAACTAGTTTCAACACGAACACGAAATGTGATATCTTTTTTCTTTCTTTTTTTATTGTTATTTTGATTTGTTTCTCTTTTGTGTTCGAGTTACGCTTTAAAGGCTAGACATGTGCGCCACAGCGGGCCCCCACACAGATACTGAAACCGAAATTGAAATACTTGACAAAGTGTTCTTTAGGCAGTGCAGCCCCGAAACAAAACAAAACTCGCTCATCGAATGAAGCGCTGGGCTCTCGCCTTCACGAGTATTTATTGGCAATACGGTCTCTCGCAATTAGCTACGCTCTGACTACAGAGACAGCACTTAATACGTACTTAATATATACTCGCTCAAGCATTGAAGAAGAGAGTATATTCGCTTTGAAATACAGATACAGATACAGATACAGATACAGATACAGATACAGATACAGATACAGA